CAAGCTTTTCGAACATTTGGCTGATGTATTATTTGTTTAATTTGATTAATAAAATAATTAACTTACTTGTGTGTGCTGAGCATAGCATGTCTTTCTCTGTGACAGCTGGTCCTTATTGGTGAATCCAATGCAGAATACTCTAAGCAGGTATCCATCAGAGGTTTTCACATCAGCTGAAGCCTCAATCAGGGTTTGCCACTTCTTAACCATAGACCTCAGCTTATCTGTTGTAAGGTCCATGCCATGGAAGTTCGTTAAAACATTTCTTCCTATAAAAAACAAAAAATTTAATTATAAAATTTGGGTTATACATATGAGTCATCACATTATTTTAAGGGTTGCATCATAAAAAGTCACCAAATTTGTCAAAAGCTCCAAATTAAAACTTCTACTGCCCAATCAGCACCATTTTCTTTTAAGAATGTTATAACAAAATGTGTCGATATGATAAACCTTCCAAGACTGGATAAACAATATTATACTTGCAAATGTTTCTTTTCTTGTCAATCAATTAAGTTCATAAGTTAATAATAGTAGTAGAGTTGTGATTACACCAGCTGATTAAGATACCATAATATTATATTATTATTATATTATAAAAGCTTAGAATTACCTTCACATAAAAAGCCTGCATTTCAGAGAGAACGTTAAAAATATTAATTTTTTTTTAATACCCATAAAAGAAGTAAGATTCACATTAAATCTCAAAATATTACACAAAAATGAATTTTTAATGTGTTATTTGAGGAGGCTTAAATGCAAACTTTTACTTTCTTAAATGTCACACATTGCTGTTTCTTAAGAATAGTGACACTATTCAAAAAAAGCTTTTATTCAGGAGAGGCATCCTTAATATCTTTTGAGGAGAAATTTTGGATAATTGAAGATAAAGTTAATAATTTGGATTTAGAAAAATGATCAATTAAATAAGTTTTATTGAACTTTCAGATTCATTGAATAAAAGATCAGTATGTTTTCAAAAATATCCCATTTTATTCCTTTTTTTGCAACTTTATAGGAATGAATCATTATTCCTGAAACAAAAAATTATGCATTTTTAAAAAATATATGACAAATAAATTCTGGTTACTGAAAAAAAGAGGGAACATTTATTTTAGTATTACTACCAATGATACACAACTAACAACATTTTAAAGACTATTAGGAACTAAAAAATCAAAGGTAAAAGTACAATACAAAAATTGGTTACAAATCATTGTAAAATCTCTCATAGCATAACAGTATTATATTTTTTTTTTTACTAAATGAAGGCACTTTTATTTTTTTTCTGAAATGGGCGTTTGTATGCTTTAATGAGAATAACTCTAGGACCTCTTTTTGTTGCTTCGTTTTCTTAGATCTTCCATATGATTTTTTATCTACCTCAACTTTATGAAAATCAGTCTCACTGCATGAGTTTTTGTAGAAAAAAGTTCCAGAATGTTCAGATTCAACCACTATTATTTTAACATTTGAATTTTTCATTTTCTGAGTTTGTATGTTATATGAAGATAGTCACAATGCACTTCATGTCACTATTCTTGATTCACACGATCAGTTATTAGTGTATTTTGCATTAATATGACATTCTTGAGAAAAATGTAAGTATACACTTTGAAAGTCAAGCAGCAACTGCAATATGACATTATTCATGACAAAACCCCAAAACATTCAATATTAATGAATAGACAGACACTAGCATCATCTCTGGCGAAAAGTTTGAAACAATTGCAAATGTTTTTATTCCTGATAAAATAGCCAACATTTGGAGTGAAACTGCGATTTTAACTAATTTTTCTCATTTTTTGAATAGTGTCACTATTCTTGAGACATGTATTTCCTAAAAACAGTCCTCAAAATCGAACTTATTTTGGTTATAAAATCATTCAGATATATCAAAAAAATAATTTCAAGAAATTCTAATTTTGCTTTAAAATGAAGTACAATAGAATAGTGGCTTGTGTTAGTGTTGGTGCTATACTCAATGCTACTTTTATCATGTGGTCTAATATAAATGCAACTAGCTAACAAAGAGAGACAATTAAAATCAAAGAATGCATTTTTTTGTCAACACTGATTCATTTTTCACCCTTAAAAAACTTACAAGTTTCAACTGAAGGATCCACTTCTGAATCAAGTTTATACAGATAACATAGTAATATAATAGTGGTTAAAATGCATAGCATATTCAATATTCAGGTTGTCCTGAAACTTGAGACTTTCCTTCTCTACATTTGATGTACAAAGCTAAGGTGTGGTAAAACAAGCAGAAATGTAGAAAAGTAATTGAAGAGAATTACTCACTACTCATTCAGTACAGTAATTTCAAGTGCTGCACTGTCACATGTTTAATTTTTAAATACCCAGTTAACTTCTGCCTATTGGACCTGTCTAGGTCTTTTATAAACCTACCCAGCTCAGGGTCAAGACATCCAAGACAACAATCTGAATGCACTCTCAAAGTATCAATAGCAACTCAAAGATACAGTAAACTAACATTATGCTGTATGGTGTCTGATAGCCTGATTTGGAAACTGACATATCCTACCATTTCATGTTGAATGCAGGGCTAGGATAGCCTATCCAGATTCCTTTGGAACTTAATATCAGTTACGAATTTGTTATTAGGAAAAATTGCTCATTAGTAGATGAATTATATGCCAGGTAAATGGAAAGCCCCAACTCTAAGGACATCCTGCACTACTAACGTGCACTCACCTTGCACATCTTCAGCAATGAGACGAAACTTCCTGAAAGACCTTTCTGCATCGGTATCATTCTGTAAATCGGCCAAAGATACTTCGAACACTCTATGCTTCAAGCCCTCAGATGCAATCTTGGTTCCTTGGGTACGATTAACCAAAGTCTTGCCGACTTGCCTCGTGGCGAACATTGAAGGGGCTTTGACATCGTACCAATCCTTCCTGGTGAACGGGTCTACTCTGAAAGGCCAACGAAATTATTTTGGAAGCTGCATTAAAAAAAAATAAGAGCGCATATTTCAAGGTTTATTCAGACGTGTAAGACATTAGGGAACAAATATTTTATCTTCATATTTGTATCAAAGCGAGCTGAGTGGATCATCATTTATAAAAAGCACATTCATTTTAAAATGTTTGCAAAAGCTACTCCAAAACATGTCATACTTATTCTGACAATATCTGAACCATCTAGACCCCTTATAAAGCGGTTTTGACTAAAATTATGAGCATGAACATCTTAGATTCTAACGGTGATGTTATTTTCTACTTACACCTTCTTTTTAACACCCTTCTTTCCTCCTTTGGAGAGACCTTTATTTTTCCCGACCGCCATAGCTGTTGTTCAGTGAAAAAGAATAATATAATTCCTGAGTGTTGGCGGTCTGGGAAATAGACATTGACAACAATGACATTTGTGGCCGTGGCTAGCACTACAAACAAAATAATCTAAGGCTAGTCACAGACGTCATTTATTTAGTTTCACATCTGACACAGTCATCGTGCAACTCCGTCCAAGCTAAACATGCCGGTATGCTTGAAAACCACTCCGATTGCCACTGTTTTGAATTATTCGGAATGGCAACGGGATTTTAAAATTAAAAGAAAATTAAATATTAACGGTAGCAGTAATCAGTAATCAACTAATCTACTTCCAGAAAAATCTATATGCCAATACAAAGGCAATGAAACATTGAATCCATTCGTGACGTGCGGAGCACGTGAGACTTGCAGATAAAGTGAAGCAACGGCCGTTTTATTGTCGTACAGTCCTCATCACTGCGACCATATGCAGTCAACGTGTAATTGAATATAAACTAAAATGTTTTCAAACTTCATTTACTAAGAATCAAAATAACCTTGAGCACATGAACGTTGCTTTTATTTGGTGCTGTTGCTCCTAAGCATTTATAGTCCACTGGCCAGAAGTCCACATATTTGCAGGTTGTGCTCTGGTGTTTGTTGTGACGGGATGTAAATGAGATTTGAATACACTTCAGACACAGCGCAGAAATTCATCCGGCAGAGGTATTATGTAAAAAACGTAAAAAACGACAAAATGTCATCTTGCACACTATGTAGTTTTTAGATTTCACGTTTGCTCGCTGGGATCCCTGTGAGCGTCAGTGTCATCAAAAGCGTCTATCTATGGAGGGATGACTCAACGACAGGACCCGCTCAAGTTTTTTTCCCCCAGCATTTATTGTTGGTTTTTTTATACCGAAGCAGCCGCGCAGACAGAAGCCTAAATGCCGGGACACCGCGGCTGCTATGAGGAATTTTGCTAAACCGATTTATGAACTGCCTTAGGTTAGTAGAACTGGGAAAAGCTTCCCCTTGTATATTTTTCCACAATCTCGATACTCTCAGGACAAAGGAGCGATCGTATCGGCCAGTTCTGGATGTACGAAGCTCGACACGGTTAGGATGGGAGCCCAAAGTCAGGCGGGTCTGTCTGGCAGGCACATTGCGTGGCGGCATCATGTAAGACAGCTCTGAGAGCCCGCTAGTGTAGCGGTAGAAGAGAGGTAGATCGCCGATGGCCCGCCGCGCGCCGGTGCTAAAGGTTCCCGAGACTGTCTGTTAGAGAAGATTCATCGATTAGTCGGACAGCACTCCTCTGGACAGCATCGAGCAATGACATTGCTGTGAACATAGACCTCCAATAATTCCTTTGCTGAAGCAGATGTTACATCACATCAGAGCCAAACATTGATAGCTGAAGCATCATGACGTTTAGGCAACACGTACAGCTACAAAACGAGTTCACAGCAATTTTTTTTTGTACGACACCTAGGGCTGAGTTGACATCTGGTAGAAAAACCCACGCAATGTCACAAAAAGCTCATAAAATGTCAAAAAGCCGTCACTTTTCAAGATACGTAATACTCGTATCGATTACCTATAACCATCTTGCACGATGGACAAGGCTGACGTCTGGAGCCGGCCTAACAACGGTCGCCGTGCATCTATCCACATCCAAAGCAGGGAACAGCAAAAGGTTCTATGGTCTCAGAAAGGTAAATAATGTTAATTGTCAAACTGACATCCTTAATGACCTAGTGTTCTGAGGTTGTGAGTTGTGACGTTTATTCCTCCAAAAATTGACAAAAAAAAGCTAAACCAAAGTAAACTCAAAACTAATTCAACTAACTCAAAATTAATTTACCGTTTCAGTTTCTGATAAGATGTTTGGTCCTTTGGTGTTTGGCGAAAATAAACATAATCACCAGCCTGATTATCAAACAAAATGCTTATTATGCGAAGACATCTTCAATTTGAAGATATCATTACCCCTATTTTTAGCTCATGCATTCGATGTACATAATATAGTTATTGAAGATGTTGAAAGCATAGAAAATCTTCATGAGTAAGTATGCATGTATCTAGATTTGATTTAAACTTGCATGTATTAGTATTAATATAAGGACATGCTTGTTTTGCAAACAGTAATTTTTTTTGATTTTTAGGTATGTTACATATTGGCGAAACAAATTTAAATGCTCTCCAGCAGAGCAGATTATACCATCTTTAAATTTAGGCACATCAAATGAAAGATACCTTGTAATGTCAAGTCTGCTTAAAGAAGATAAGGATATAAGACATAAATTGAAACTAGAATATGCCTTGAAGGTACAAGAATTTGAGCGCATTGATAAGAATTATATCAAACCTTGCATATTTTGCAAACTCAATTTTGAAGGTTAGTAATCTGCCCAAAAAATAAGTTCCTTCTTGTATATTCAAGAATTTTAGCTGTATTCATGTTATCTGATTTATCTTTAGGCACGAGGCATGGATATTTAGAACATTTATCAGCACAACACAATCTACAGTTAGGAAACCCACAGAATTTAGTATATATTACAGAACTTATTGAAATAATCAGCAACAAAATTTCGGATTTACAATGTATTTACTGTGAGAAGACATTTCCTGACAAGAGCGTATTGAAAGAGCACATGAGGAAAAAACTGCATAAAAGGATTAATCCATCAAAGACTGAGTATGATAAGTTTTATATTGTTAATTATTTGGAAGCAGATAAGACTTGGCAAACCATACAGCAGGAAGATGATAGATATGCATTATCTAGGGGTAGGTATTTTATCAACAGCAAAGCACTTCAGCATTTTATTTAACACTTAACCTTTGTCAACAATAATTGTATCTAATATTTTTGGATATTAATTTTCAGAAAATAATTACTTTGGTGTCCATTAAGTCAACATTAAAGTAAATGGAAAATTTGAAACATTTTGCATTCCTTTATTCCATTTTTTCAAAATTTTCATGTTGTCCTAACTTGACTTGACTAATAATTCACAAAATGATTTTGTAGGAGCACATGCAAATTCAGATGAAGAATACTCTGATTGGAATGAAAAGGAAGACAAAATTACATGCTTATTTTGCCAATATACAGACCTTAATATCAACACCCTCTGCTTACACATGGATGCAGATCATGAGTTTGATTTTATTATTCTCACGAAAAATTTGGACTTTTATCAGAAAATAAAGTTAGTTAACTACATAAGAAAACAGATGCACAATAATAAATGTATTTGTTGTGATGAATCATTTACATCATTTTCATTGCTGGAAGAACATATGATAGCAGAAAAACATTATGAACTGCCTGATTTGAAGGTGTTTGATCAACCAGAGTAAGTGAATGTATATAACTCTTGACACTTGCCAGGCAGGTAGTAGCATAACTCATTTAAAATAGTCTGTCCTGTTTTTTCATGCACTGCATAAAATGAAAGGAATCTCTGACAGTATGAATGTAGTACTACTACCACCATAACTAGAGCACAAATATCTTATTCAATTTGTTTGTAGCTATTTTAGATCAGTTGATTTCAACTCAACTTATTTTTTTTTTCAGGTTCTATTTTCCCACATATGAGAATGATGCCTTTCTATATCTTATTGATGATGTTGAAGATTAATTTTTTTCTGTTATTCAAGCGGACATACATATATTTATACATTTATTCCAACAGAATATTAAAAAAAGTTTAATTACAGTTATCTCTGTTGTATCATGTTACACATTTTCCCATGTTTATCTAACTCAATGGTGTTCATAAAATGCATCAATTTAGTGAAAAGCTATGTATAAGATACCATGGGATATATTCGTTTTTGTATATTCTTTGAGGTAAGAAGAAGCAAAGACATTTTCTGGCAAAATTGAAAAATTGATGCATGACTGTTGTGCATTTACACAGTATTTTTACCATTTCCTGGCATCCATTGTTTTTCTATGATCACAAGTTTTAGAAGGGATCCAGAATGGGTACCTATAAGAGTCCATTGACTTACCCCATATTACATATCATAACTAGGGATGCACCAAATATTTAGTTTGTACTTGGTACTCGGCATACTCGGCGTATTTCACTGAGTAATCTTGGTGTATTAAATTACTCAGCCTTGATTTACACAAGCATACAGCTCTCTCAAACGTTCCTGATATGTTCTCCAAGAAATTGATGCACCATCAAAAAATAGTTAGCATATTTTTGCAGGAATTAGGGAACTAATGAATAATTTCTTAGTAAATGTTAGCTGCTTTATGGTCTTTCTCCAGTAAAAACATAAACCACTATACAAAGTAAAGAAAATGCAACGAAAGTCGAAAAGTAAAGTGAATAACGAAAATCTCGCGTTTTTGCAGAGAAAATATTTACCCATATGTAAGGATAATTAAGTTTGAGAAACCCATACGATTTTAATTTGGTGTTGCTGAAGGCTATGACATCGCAGCGATTCTAATAGATATTTTTTTGTTTGATCAGCTTTTGGCCTTTCGCTGCCCGTATTAAAAAAGTTGTGCTTTAAGTTTTCGATATGAGTTATATTTTTGAATGTGATGTGATTTTTTGTACTAGGAAGGACTGAAAAGTAAATCAAAAACAACTATTCCAAAAATGTAATGTCAAGATATAGTTTAGATTTAACTCAAGTTGTAGTTATTGAATTCCATGTCGACGAACGTATATCAAACTGTTGCAGTATTCTTAAATATTTGGAAAACAACACTTAAAAATACCGTTAATACACTTAACGACGCACAACTTTACAAAAAATGGTTTAAGCTATACAACAGAAAAGTAAATCAATTTTAAGAATGAAGGGACCTTTCAAAAACTCAAATGGAATCTGAATAACACTAAGATAAGCTGAAATAAGCCAACACCAACTCCACCGAGTACCCGGTTCATGGCTTTTTGAAAAAAGTAGTGCTCGATTTGGTGCATCCCTAATCATAAAGCAAACAAACTGCTTCATTTATGCTGTTGCAATTCGCCAAAAGTATACAATAATACAATAACTGAAGTGGGAGTGACAGTTATAAGTTTATTGGGAATTTTCAAGTTGCTAGTGTCATAATACTGTTAATTATCATTTTAGATAATAACAAATAAGCTTAAAAGACAAATATGTTTGACGAAACATTAGATATGTGTAAACATTTTGTAACATAATTGGCAACAAGTCAAAATGGAATAAAGATCAATAACTTTTTATAAAATAAGTACACGTAATATAAAATATTATATATGTTACACCTGAAGAAAATAATACACTTTATATTTTCTTATTTATGCGAAAAAAAGTAAAATTTGAGTAGCATATAAACTGACTTTCTTTTGGTAACCTTTTCTACCATCATCTACAAAATGCTTATGACTACAGAGCCTAGTGAATATGATGGTCATTTGATGTATTGGGTACATTCCACTGTGGGTAAAATTTCTCTGGAAAATCGATAAAATATACGAAACAGAAATACTTCACTCAGTCGCTAGAGCATTCACATTTCTCCTTTTCTTCAAAGCTACCATTTTTATTGATCCTCACTGCACCATACTTATCGTTTTCCTCTAAAAATGCTTGAATTGCCTCGTCTTTCATTTCCACCAGTGATCTCATTTCAGAAGCAGTCAGAAGTTTTTTCCGCGACTTTTTAGAGATACCATAGTCATTGTAGAGCTGCTCAACCAGCTCGTCCTTCGTTTTTGGGTATTTTATCTACAAAAACAAAGATCGGAATGATTATTTTGATTACGAACGATAAACGGAAATACATTATTGTCGCGTAATGTGAACTTGCGCGCCATTACGCAAACTCACGTATCAATGTGTAAATTGATGGACTGATAGCACCAGGGTGCCTCAGATAACTACCTACAGAATATATTCTTATCCCGCCATCAGTCGCGCTCCTCTTGCATACGCCATCGGTCGCGCGATTAGATTTTTTCTAACGCGAGCTCACCCGTGTCATTTTTATCTAAAATGACGGTATTTTTGCATATCTCTCAGAAATTCTCCATTTGGAATAAGATACATTATTTTTATTGCAAAATGTTTATTAAACAGTTTTATTAACTTACTTAACAATATTTTATTGTATATCAGACATCTCAAATGATAAAACAACAGAATAAAACTGAAGAAACCAAACCAGAGCTCACTTGCTAACGAACTGGGAATAACAAAACATCATTACGATAATAACATGGAAATAACATTTATTCAGTAAGATTGTCTTCTGCTTCTTTGCACTTATAACAAACAAAAACTGTTGTACCCGTGTGTTCTCTACATAGCGAAGTTTGACAGCGGCTACATTTATTATTTGTGAATCTATTTTTGCGACATGGACAAAATCCACAACGTGGTTTTGATTCAGCCTCACCAGGGTTCATAACTGCAACTTTGTCGGCGCTTTTACCAACAATACTGCATATTTTTTGCTGGAGTGAAACCGAAATATTTGACAAGGAACTTCTCCTCACCATATGTGGCTTTGTAAGACTTTTAGCCAAAGATAAAATGAAGAAACGTCTCGAGATAACATTGTCAGTATTATTTCTATAAATGATTTGAGAATTTATGGTAGCGTTATTTAGAAGGCTGCAAAATAGCGTAAACGGCCAGTGGTTGCGAAATCTGGTAACTGAATATTCCGCTTTCATGCGATCAGCAACATCCACGCCGCCTTTTGTGCTATTATAAAACATGATTTTTGCATTCTGGATTCTGGATAGATTGTATCGCTATCATGGAAAGCAGAAATCATTACCACATTTTTATGTTTCTTTGGAATATATGAAGTTAAAGTGCATTTATTATTGTCGGTACCACATGCACACATAGTACTATGAACTGTTTTTCACTTGCAGAAGGTCTGGCGGAATATCGCGTTTATTTTTGCGAAGTGTGCCGACATTTGTTAAATGGTGATTTACATAAAGTTCATTAGCAAGTGGCGCGGATGACTATACTAGCCGCATCATTTGGTACTTGATATGGACCAGATGGTTGTTTTCCACAATACATTTCCATATTGTGGATATAAAAGGTAATTGAATCAACAAGGGCATATCTTCAGGCCGAACTTGGCAGGTTTGCTTTTTATAAACGGACGAAAGCGGCTGGTACACTTATGTACAAACGTCTCGAAAACATTTCTGAAAGCTTCAAAATTATCAATGTTAGAACGCTCCTTCCTGGTAGTTTTATCATCGAACCGTAGAGCTCTGAGAGGGATGTGGAAACGCTTCTGGGACATTGTGGCTGGGAAATAACTTTATGATGTTCCATCACTGGCCCATAATTCACTTGTATGTAGATGTTGACTCTTTTTTACGCCGGCTAAATAAAGTAGGCCAAAAAATGCCATCAGTTCCTCCAAGTCGGTAGGTAAACAGTCTCGGGGATTCTCTCATTTCGTCGAGTTTTTGGTTGGTGTATGTCACAATTTCAGCTACAATTTCCGTTGTAAAAAATATTTGCCAGCAATCTATTATCTCTTTTGCTCCCTTTGCTTCTCTGGGCACACCTGGCAGCTTGGTGATGATATTCTGGCTTCGTGTTTTACGTGACGGTTCATAAGTTTTATGTTTTAACCATTTCTTATCATTCTTCCCGACAAATACAGGTACTTTTGATAATCTTTGGGGTTGCGAGATCGACTCAATCATTTCTTCTTTGTCAGAAGACTGCTCCGTACCTGTGTTACGAATACTATGCTGGGAAGCAGCATCGTCTAGATCTGAACAAGAATTTGTATCTCCTCATACCATTTTAGCCACTTGGCTTCAGTTCTCGGAGACGCCATACTATTCTGAAATAAAAAAAAATATGAATAATATTCAAATTTCAAGTCGAATTTTGATTATTGTTTTTCGCAAGTGCAAAGACACTACAATGCTAATATTGTCACAAAACTGAAAATTGAGGGTCCCTAAACCCATATTTTTAACTTTATAAAAGAACTAACATAGTTTTAGATATTATATAAAAACAACTTACCGAGATATTACACAAAATTTCACTAACGCTATCAGTCGCGTCGATAGATTTTTTCTAACAGCGGAGCTAAAACGAAACAACAGGCTCGGTCGCGTGTTAGATTAATACTACAATTTAAATTACAGGAAATTCGTTTACCCCACCAAATGATACTCGGGTGGCCGATGCTTTATGTCCAGTAGGAGGCATTCTCGGAACCATAGACAAATTGTGCAAAAATTGGAAAAAAAGTGTATAGTGAAATTAAATTTGTTAGATTTTTTCTAACAGTGCAACCGATGACGGGTTATGTAAGTTCCACGGGAGTTGAAGTTTGTGATTTTGCACGGTAGCTTGTTTGTTCACGTGAGAGGACAATGATGTTTTAAAAAACCTGTTATTTAGTCACCGGAAAAACAGGTTTGCAAAAATTTTTTGGCTTTTGAATTCAATTTTCAAAATGATGTCTTTTACATTTAAAACAATGAAGTGATGCCGCGTTCAATAATCGTCATTAGTAATTTTCCAGAAATTCTTAATTGTCAGGCGAAAAGTGACCATCGTATCAGATCTTCCACTTTTCTATGTATTTGAAGAATTGGTACTACATTAACATAAGTGTCAAAGATATCGTTATCATTTGCTGACCTGCGATTGTCTTTCAAACAATGTAGGCTGTCGATTGACTCTCCCCAGCATCATTTGCATCCTGTTTCGAAATTCTTCGTTTCGTAACCTTTCTTCTTCTCTCCTCAGGTGCAGTCTCACAGCTAAGTCCTCTTCATGACTATAAGCCAGAGCCTGCCAAACTGGTTTTTTTCGCATCAGCTTTTCCTTCCATCTTGCCTCTTCCTTTAGTCTTGCCTCTTCTAGCTTTCTTAGCATGTCCATCTCCAGTTTTCTCCTGCAAGTTACAATTTGGTTCGAATGCCGTATTTAATACTACTTAGAAGTAACCTGAAATAGCGGTTTTGATATTCCCAGAAAACCAGCCTTGACCCTGGACTGAGCTGAAGCGATTTCTAATTAGGTCTATGCATAGGGGTAAATCGCACCCAGAAATCTGTGCAATAACGGGAAATATTTCCCCGTAATTCCCCACAAAGCCTATTAATGCCCAATAATTCCCCTTGTTTTAGATAATTATCGCATCAATCCCTCTAATCACCATAATTCTTCTAATTCCCTCGTAATTCCCACAAATTCATCGAAATTCCTGCCAGGAACTACTGCAAATTGAAGGGAATAAAACTCTTTCGATAGCTGCTTGCATCCTAAAAAACTGTTTTAGATGATTAGATCAATCCCTCTAATTCATCTTTTTAGATTCTAATATATCTATGATTTGAAACACAGTTAAACTAATAATGTTTCTTATGATAAAAAATACACCACAGTATTAAATTAAAGTATACATGTTATAAACTAAATAAATACTTCCCTTCTGTGTACTAAATGATGTCTAAAACCATCTTTTGGAGTATTCAGTGCATTCCTTAGTGATATACTAATATTTCAAGGTTTGCTCCTCCCAGTCATTCATTCAAGAAAAAAATCAGTACAAACATGTGGACATTCGCAACGGCATATTTTTTTGGTACAATGCTTTGGAAGCGGGTGTCCAGCTATAAATTGACCTCCTATAACTTTTTTTATATGACCTTCCAGAAGAAAAAAATGTATATAAAAGTTATAGGGTCTAATATGAAGTTTATAATATGTAATATTTTTTCGTGCAGGGTCTCATAATATTGCTATCGAATAAAGTTGTATTTTTTTAATCGAACACAAATATTTTCAAGGAAAATGATAGTACCTTTTTTCTTATTCAAAATATAAAGTTTAACATACTTATTTTCATTAGTTTGACCAAGTTTGCGTGTCATTTACTCCTGCGGACAAGTTTGAAAATAGCCGCTTATGCAATCTGGTATCCCTATACATATGAATAAATGACTAAACCAATCAAATATATTTGGAATAAAAAAGGATTATTCTCACTGAAAAAAAACACGGTGTTCCATTTAAAAAGTTCAGCTTAATTAGATAGCATTTTACTGAGCCACCCGGTATACTGAAAAAATATTTAATGAATCAATTTATATTCGACCCTATAACTTGAATAAAAAACTTCTTCTAGGACTGAAAAAAATATAGGGGGGTAAATTTATAGACGGACAACACCTCTACATCCATACTTTGACGTATTTTTATAAGGGTATCACAAACTGAACATGGACGATCGAGAAATATACTGTGTGAAGTTTTGGAGACACAAATAACATCGTTTCAGAAGGAACCAATATCCTGCTGAACTTACAGCTCATAGTAAGCAGTTTTCACTTTGGAGTGAATTTAATACCTCGCGTATTTCCCGACAATTCCTTGTACTTCACCGTAATTCCCAATAATTCATCGCAATTAGTGTTAGTTCGTTATTTGGTTGCGAATATTTGACTTATAAATTGAGTTTATATAATCCTTACCTTGCTGACTGAATCCTTAAAACCGCAGCTAAGTTTGACCTATTCAAGGACGGAACAACATCTAACGAACTAGAAGATGGTGTTTTTGTTGAAGAGCTCTTGCTACTGGCTGACGAATGTCTGTAGCTTCGTTTACCCTTTACAACAAATTTAGCGTTAGTTTGTCATAAATGTAGTGCTTGGATGGTCACTTACTCTTTTGTCATTCCTTTTTGATGTTTTGAATTTAAAAGGTTTTGGACTGGTGCTAATAAACTCATTTTTGAGTTCTTCGAGTTCCCTCTCTAATTGGTCATGATATGCCTTAAAATTGGGTATTTTTCCAACTTTTCTTAAAGACTTCTCTTCCTTCTCATTATCGCGATATGACCTGTTGATGATATTATTGTGCACATTTTTAAAACATAAAAGGGCTGAACTGCGTATAAGTTTGGATTTGGTATATCTATTCTAGATGTCTGCCATCAGCCATCGTCAAATAAATCCATACATACTTACCTGGGACATACATCCATTTTTGGCTTACTCTTTTCTCTTTTTGCCATCGACGGAGGTAAAGATGCAGCCCTTAACATTTCTTCTGCTCGTATTCTCTTCTGTAAAGCCCTGTAATATCAAATTATACGTAAACCTCAAGGATTCTTCTGCCTAAACATTTTCTCGTTAGGTTTATTGTTACGTTACGGGCTCGTTGTTTTCATATCATATATTTGTACTGTATTCGTAAAATGATCGATGTCAGACTTGTGGAAATAGTTACATGAAAAAAATCTATAGCGAAGTACATCATATTATTCACTCAAAAGGACCACGTAAAGATATAATGATGATAAATGCTTCTGGAACTTTAATATGTTAAAACAGTTCCGTTGAAAGATTTTGCGAAATTAAACTGAGATTGTCCTATGATCCGAAACTTTTCAGATCGCGATTTAAGTGGACATCTAGATGAAACATAAAACTCTAAAATGGAAATAAAAAGTCTTGTGGCCAAAAATTCTACTCCCAGAACTAGTTTGATATTTAAGACTGATACTCTCTGAACTAGTGAGTTTTCCAAAAACGAAGTACGAAATATTGGGACACGTTTTTTGTAAATATCGAAGTCACTTCTCCGAGAATACAAATAGGTAAATATGTGCTCATAATATTGACAGTGATTCACTATATTATACAGGTATCTGCTCGGCAGCTTCGGTAAAAAAAAAGATGCTACCAGTAGTACTTATTACGAGTTTGAGAAAAATCTCAGGTAATACTAAAAATTCGCCCAAAAGATTAAAAAAAGCTAACATAATCTGAGTAGCAAGTCTGATTCTTTTATACCGTGTACACCTGTCGAAGGCCTCATAAATATGTTAAGCTAGCGAATACAGATCTAAAATGAATCAATTGTAATTTACTATCCATGCATAATCCAGTTTACATTTGGGACAAGATACATGTATAGATGCATTAGATGTACTTATAGGTACATTGCTCACCATAGGACATGCCACAGGGGTGCATACATACATCTAGGGTATGATAAACACTAATATTATATAATCGGTTCCGTATTGTGAACATCTAATCGACTGTTTGCGGTCGAGCGCATCGATTAAACAGAAATTATACACAAATTCTGCTAAATGGATGTGCACATCTTGATACAAATCAACTGCATGTAGATAGAAAACATTGTAATTAGAATAAATTGCATGCGATGTAATGGCCTGTTCATTTTATATGAGCATATAACCATTTTAATAGGTTTTCATTTAATTTTCACTTGCTACGGACTGGCGAGGAAGTATTGTAATCGAGAAAAACTTCAAAAACGAATTACTATACTTTTCGACGACAAACCATGCCACTAATTTCCGTCGGTCTGTTTGCCGGTCTGTCCGCTAATCCTTGGTCCCACTATAACTTGGAAAGCACTGCTCGGATTTCTACGCAAGGTTATTGCAATGCCAAGGACGCAAAAGCTTTGTTGGGAGAAAATAAAAATCGCTCAGCCTTCGTTTTTTGACGTTTCAGAGGATCCTGAACATCTATGTAATTTATTTTATGAGTGAATAATTATGGGGTGAGGGGTTGTAGGGAGGTGGTTGAGGTTGTATCGCAATTTTTTGATGTTGTTATATTAAACACTAGCCCCAGTAATTTTACCCACCTATTAAGACATATTTAACACATCATAGATTTCCCCTACTTCTACAGCACAGTTGTGAGGTTTGTGGGGAGCACCCAAAGGTGGACGTCACCATGACCTTCATACTAGAAACAGCGAAAACAGGACATTTTATATCAGAATACAACCTTGACCTTGAATAAAATTTATTCTTGACATGACCTTGACTTTGAGGTTAAGGTCACACTTGGATTCAAAATTTCCGGCTTTTTCCATTTTCACTGTAAACATCAGAGGGTCTGTTTGGAAATCCTGATTTGAGAAAAGTTAGTCATGATCAAGGTCATCTTGAAATTGTTTCTGATGTCTTCATTTGACGTTGAAATGGTCTTGAAGGCAATGGTCAAGGTGACTTTCCGACGTAAAACTTGCTCCTCTTTTCATACTATTCAATCCCCACGGGTTTTATTTGAAAATATTCACTTAAACTTGGAACTTTTTTCTATTTCGCGCAGAAATATTTGGGTATGGAGATTAAAATGGGACACCGTTGATAAGTACGTATCACAGCTATTATAAAATCATTATCATCAAACATTGTTGACAATAATTTCATACCACAGTTTTTAACAAATGAGGCTACCGTGTATGAACACGCTCATTGCTGCAATCGGGGGATTTTTCCCCAAATAGTGCATTAATGGTTCCGACAAAACATACATCTTTTTGACGCCATTGCACGACGTGAAAAATTGTACTAGAAGTGCTTTCGAAGGCGTTGGAAATATAGAGTCAATATCGCAATTAACTTGAAATCACGTTCTCAAAATATAAGACCAACAATCTTAAAAATAGTTGAAACTGTGTAACAATGTAACTCATTCTCTCGGAATACCTGTACACTCGTATCGAAGTACTTGCCGTGTTACTGGAAATATTTAAAGCACATATCGAAGTAGGCACAATATTCGCAGTAAATGTCGAACTGTCTTATCGAAGCATTTGAAGTGCGAATTGAACAGAATAGAAAGTATTTTATGTACTTTGTAAAGAAGTAGGTAAATTCTTATTGTAACGCTCTCGTAACTGGGACCTTGACTGGCGATGCCACGGCTTTCCAGTGTCGACGCTTAGGCAACCAGTTACGCGACCGAGCATGAGCGCTTGTGGCCATATCTAAACGTTTTGGCCGAGATTCGAGAATCGAGATGTATTTACTGCTTTCGCGACTTGGCCTGTTAGACGCTGTAACATTTCTCGACTCACACATCGACTCGCACATATGTTATGTAGCATCCAAAAAAAATATATTTTGATTTCAAAATTTTCCACAATTATAATACTTCCAATACGAGGACCTTTTCTAAGAGAAAATACCCTTAAGGCAGTTAAAGAGCAAGGGATGGGATATGTCCAGGTGGGGAGGGGTGCGCACGTATCACAATTCAGGTCTAGTAACGTAATTTTTACATCAATATCTAGTATTTTCTTGAAAAAAAATGGCAGACTTGAGCATCTAAATCCGCTCCTGCATCAAATACTATACCTATAAAACTCATCTTCATGCATCTTTTTGTAAATGTAGTTACTGAAAAGATTTTTCGGGATTGGTTTGGCTTTGAATTTTTTTATTTTCAACGGAGGCTCGTAATACAAGTTCGGAGTGGATCTAGATAACTCTCTGGTCAGCTCCTGTATTTCTTCATCTCTTTTGGTAAAGGAAAACGGTTTCATTTGTGCTTGCAGTTCAGCTTTCCTTCTTCGCTTAGTTAAGAAGCTCCTAAAATGAAGTAGATTATAGTCGAAACATCGTGTACCACGAAGTGTCCATCATATGTTAACGGATACAAATTCGGCAGGTTATACATACTAGAGATCGACCGATACAGGATTCTCGCCGATACCAATAACATCGGCGGATATCGATTGTCGATATTATCGATATATCGGGCTATCGACCGTTCATTTCCGTGGGTGAATATGTGCGTGCAAAGTATCTAAGCAAGTCAAACTATCTAGTCGCAATGACTGATTCGCATCTGTTTTGTGACATTTTCTGCATAAAACTTTTTAAAACCACTTACGCCTATATAGCTCTCCAAAAATATATAATAGTTAAAAGATCTGTTGACAATTCTTTTAGAGTTTCCCGTTCTTAATGATCTCCAGTTCTTGCCCAGCATAACAATGCTGCAGCTTCGAACTTGTTATCTATTAGTTTAGTAGCCAGTTGGTTAAAAAATGTGATAGGTCAGGTCATTGCCAACAGGATTGGTCATTATATCCAGAGATCCGCACGGGTTTCATGTAAAAAAGCTACAAAACGTCAAAAAAAACCTATAAGATGGCATCTTGCAAACTAGGTAGTTTTTAGGGCACAAACAGTCGTTCCACGTTTGCTCTCTAGGATCGTTGTGAACGTCCATCTATGGAGGAATCACTCAACTAAACGACATGCATTATTGATTGCATATGTTTTGTGAGGCCGAGTGGTCCTTGTCTGCAGTTCTTATCTCTGAGAAGAAAGTTGGTAGAATAGAAAGATCGTATCTGGATGATTATGTATATTGGTCTGCATGTGTATAAAATCAGTGATATTTGCTGTGTGAGAAAATGATTTTTTCTGAAACGTCTTTACTACTGACAATTGTTTTCTACTTTAGTCATTTGACAGGATTATTTTGTCATTTCTATACGTGATAGAGACCTCTGGTAGTGATAATCAGTGGCAGGAATCTGAATTAGTCATAAGGACTAAATTTTATGGCGAGCGACCTGAATGTTGAGTTATATCCGATATTGCACAAGTTGTAACACTAAAATTTATTCGGAAATTTATCGCTACAGTTTCCGATTTATTTTCTAAACTGCATGCCCAAATACTTATGTTCAATTGCGAAAAATAAAAAAGAATACAAATCGCTCAAAGCACGTTTTTTGACGTTTCAGAGGATCCTGATCATTTTAGAATAAAAATCATTTGAATTATCTAAAATAACAGGGCTATTTTGAAATTATTTGAGCTTTATAACTAATGTTAGTGGTACGTAGTCTCTTGCTTTCTAATACGTAAGTAGCCGCACTGTTCTACTGAGCTAGTACTTGAGATCACTTAAATTTCTGTTAACTGTTATATATCTCTAGAAAGCTAAACAAGCGTAAATATTTTAATATTTTATGCTAGAAAATTTATATTACACTTTTTTGAGAAACGTGCCTGAAGTTGAAAATACCCGAAAAATGTAGTAAACATTTTATATCTATTTATGTGCTGTTTTGACCCCTATGTAGTTATTACCAATAATTAGTATAATTACAGTCGACTATTATCAACTGATATGCTTGCTACCCAGAATACCAAAAAAATACCAGATTCATAGAGTCAACTAGAAAAAAATACGAAATAGTGCAAAAAATCAATATTGCTAAAAGTTATGTCGTTAATGGCCTCGTCTACAACGTTCTCATATATTATCCAAGACTTTCCATGTAACTCTGTATACATATACAACAACCTGACCACGAAAAAAGAACTTTTTGTGGCAATGCCTATGTATAGATATTTGTGTCACGGATGATTTGCACCGTTAACATATTTCAGACTATCTACCAACACCTTTCCGTGGACTTTGTCTATCTAGAACCTACCTCCTTTCCTGGTCAGCCATGATTTTGTCAAACAGTGGAACTTGTGATTCTATTGGCACATCATGAGCTTTGAACATTTCTGGCTTTTCATTTGGTTTTCTTATTTTACCGTATAGCTCGTCAACTATCTTTAACTCTTCATCTCTTATGAAACAACAAACATTCAAAACTATAGTTCTATACTTATTTTGGCAAAAAAAAAATTAAAAAACATAAGGGGATGTGTAAGAAATAATATAGGAAACTTCACATACGTTGCAAGTTTCATCAAATCAGCTCAAATATGCTTGGATTCATTATTAGAAATTGCAGATATTTTACTAACACGGAATCATTAGTTAGAAGCTTACTTGAATATAGTTCTATCATCTGGTCTGCTTTATACAGGGTGTAAACGTTATGATAGTCATTATTTAAATGGGTGATAGAGGGGGTTAAAAGAAGCAAAAAATTTCATATAATATGGGGGTCAAAACGGCATTTTCTTAGAGAAAAGCGACTTTAAAGTAAAATAAAATCTGACAACGCCGCAATGCCAGACTAAAATTACGACGGAATGCAGAGTAAATAAAGATGGAGTTTGTTAATTTTGGCTCTTAGGTATTATTTCATTATTTGATAATGTACTCCTAGAATGCAAACAATTAAAAAAACGGACTTACCACTAACTGTCTCAGCGCTTCACCTGGTGTGTGTAAGTTTATTGAACGTATTAAAAAAATCCACTTATAAATAGAGAACACAATTTTAATACATACATTGTTTTTCTTTTTAAAACCCACACTGCACTTTTTTGTATTTATAGAACGTATTCACAATGTCGTCCTCCACTTTCCACACAAGCTTCATTACGACAAACCCAGTTTCTTCTTACTCTAGGTCCTCGAAGTTGTCCATTCATTATTTCAGCCGCATTAAATTTTTTTTCGCGAAGTTGTGCTTCAGTTGTTATTAGACCAGCCTCATCAACCATCCCTTTAAGTTCTCCCCAATACCAGAAATCCATCGGATTGAGGTCAAGAGATCTTGCTGGCCATTTTCGAGGATCAGAAGCATTTCGACCGATCCAGCGATTTGGATAATGTTCATTCAAATACTGAATGAGGCCTCTAAGAATGTGTGGTGGTGCCCCGTCATGAAGAAACCACAAATTCTGTCTCCGTTGTAATGGCATGTTGTCTAAGGTCTGTTCCAAAAGTTCTGGTAGGTTATTGGCTAGAAATCTAACGTATCCTTCTCCTGACAACTTTGGGGGTAACTCGAAAGGGCCAATTACCTGATCGTCAACAATATCCGCCCAAATATTTATTTTAAAACGTTGTTGGAAGTAACCTTCACGAATGGTATGAGGATTTTCTTGAGCCCACGTGTGAATATTATGGAAATTTAATATCCCGTCTCGAAGTAAAGTACATTCGCCCGTCGCTAGAATATTTAAAAAAAAAACGGATTTTCAATTTTTTTGTGCAAAAACCACTGACAGAATGTGAGTCTGCGAGGATAGTCTTCTGGTAACAAGGCCTGCGCTCGTTGTACATGGTAGGATTCTATGGACTATGGTATGTGATATTCGTACGCGGCGGCCTAATTCCCGAGTGCTGATATCTGCATTGATTTCCACGATATTTAAAATTTGTTCCTCCTGCTCTACAGTAACCTGTCTTTCACTAGTGCGAATATTAGTGGGCTGAACACTTCCTGTATCTCGAAGTCTTTGGTACACTTGCACAAATGTCCTTCTGTCTGGGTGTACCTGTTGGCGAAGTCTGTCGCGATAAATATGAGCTGCATGATTTGAATTCTGACGAGCATCACCATAAACTAACAACATCTCGGCGAACTCTTGATTCGAGAACATTGTAAAAAAAGATGACGACGTATGCGAACAAAGACAAAACAGCCCGATAACTAACCACTGGTACCGTTTGCGATCGATTGCCGGTTCGCTGTTGTCATGTGTCTTTTAAATATTCAATTTAATGAAACTTATTTACTTACTGACTACAAATTTTGGCTCAGAAAAACTGAATTTCATTTATTTGTTAATTACCCAATTTAAAAATGTTTTAGAATAGATTATAAAAAAATTTGTAAGATTGTGGTGATTGTGGTCGATATAAATCACTTAAAGTTGTAAACTATAAATCCATTTAGACAAAAATCTATTGACTTTTGGACCATGAGTCATATGAACTTTTTAACTTGTTTTGACCCCGCCCCTATTATTCAATTCAATAATGACTACCAGTCAATATATATCTAAAGTCGAGAAAATCCAAACAGAATTTTTAAAATATCTGTATTTAAAAGCATATGGTGCCTATTCCCCATTCAACTGTCCAAAGAAGGATCTTTTAGGTCACACCGAAGTTTTTTGTTAATCTGCTGCTTTGTGCACAAGCTGCAAAGCATTCATATTGGCTGTGGTGAAATGTTGTCCAATCTAGACTTTATTGAGCCTAGGTTGAATAGTAGGAACTACACTGTTTCATTTACCAAAAGCTTTAACAAATATTATGCTAGCCTCCCCTTCATATTGAATATCGATATTTATGCTTCAACGAGGTTAGCCATCTCTTTGACATGAGCGAACCTATATACAGGGTACAGGGTACAAGTCGTGACCAAAAATGAAACATCATACACAGGTCCGCATTTTAAGGGGGGTCTTCTATGTAACATTTTTTCATCGAGAGCTACATTAAAAAATAAAAAACATTTTTTTAATATCTTCAAAAGCCGTCAAGTGGTATGAAGTAAAATTTGATATGTGGATTCATCTAAGTATTGACCACATTCGAAAGTCTTTAAGTAAAATTAACGTGCACCAGTGACGGATAGTACGCTACTGTTTTTTTTTTCGAATCGCGCAATTTTTAGAATTTTACCTTCAATTTGATACAAATAATTACTCTTGTGTATTTTCCTGGAGTGCATTGTTTTCGTAAAAATAAAAAAAAAACAAATTAGATAATCACAGCTTTATTTCACTAAATGTTCAAAAAGACCACCATTCTGACCGATACAAGTGCGGCATCTTTTTAACAAAGAAAAACATATTTACGCAAAGTTTGTTGAAAAGCATTATCTATCGTTCTTGTAACTGATCAACAGTATTAATTTGTTCAGAATATACTAGTTGTTTAAAAGTGATCCACAAAAAGAAATCCAGGCGGTTCAAGTCAGGAGATCTCGCAGGCCAATGTACGGATGGATCCCTTTCTGCCAATCCATCGTTGTCTAAAATGCAGTGGAGCACCGTCGTGCTGATACCACATTCGTACTCTCGTTGCTAACGGAACATCATCTAACACATTTTCTATTGAAAATGCCGCACCAAGTATTTCTACAAAATCTGTGTTGAAACGAGTGGATTCCTACAGAACGGGGATTTTCTAACGACAAAATTGGTTCATTATAAGAATTAAAGGTTCCACTCCTCGTAAAAAGCGATTCATGTAACCAAAAAACCAAATCAATAAAATCTGCATCTTTATTATGCATTTGCGGTAACCATACACCAAAATTTCGCCGCTGCACTTCGTCGTCGGGTTGCAGACATTGCACATTTTGCCGATGGTACGGATGTAAAACTTTCCGATTGAAAATTCTCCACGCAAGACTTTGGGAACATGGTAACTGGGCTGCAATCCGCCTAGTACTTGTACCAGGATCATCCAACGCCAAATTAATCACTTCCAGTTTCTCTTGAGCAGTATGCCGGACACCATAGCCTCTAACTCCGTGAAGTTTGGCCATTCCATATTGCCACAGTCTTAGGAATAAACGGGTAAATAAATCTGGGGTAGGTTGGCGTCTGTTAGGAAATCTACGTTCATACTACCGAGAAGTCGCCAAAGCATTTCCATTGCAGAACCCGTACACAAAAATAATATCGGCGTACCCATCATTGCTAAATTCCCTTTCACAACACTCAAAAATGGTAAAACGAAACTTTTGACTTGACTTTCACACAAAAAAATGTTAGTAGTAACGATAACAACCGTATAACACATAACTTTGATAAACGTCAAGTTGGTATCAAGACCTCCTATTTTATTTTGAAACTAATTGCATCTCGGCTCTTCATGAATGATCTAATTTGGTTTATTTTTCCCAAAACAGTGCACGCTATAAAAAAACACAAGAGTAATTATTTGTAGGAAATTGGAGGTGAAATTCGAAAAATTGCGCGTTTCGAATAAAAAAAAAGTGGCGTACTATTTTTATTTGGAAAAATAATGCCACTAATCCCCTGTATCTTCGCCACTGGTGCACGTCAATTTTAAGAAAATACTTTTAAATGTGGACAATAGTCACACATACTAAATTTTAGTTCATTCCAGATGACGGTTTTGAAGATATTAAACAAATTGTTTCTTATTTTTAATCTTCAACACACGTTCAACTTCTTTTAATGAAGCCCTTCAGGGAAAAAATGTTACATAGAAGACCCCCCTTAGAATGAGGTCCTGTGAATGATGATTTATTTTTGGTCACGACTTGTGAATCACCCTGTATAAAACAAGAATACTGTCATATTTAAAAACTGTTCAGTGATTTGAACCTTTTTTAGCTTTCCAGTACATTTTAATCTCAATTTCTGTAGTAGAATTCACGTTCAGGTTTTGTGTTGGATTTCTGATACATAGTTTTTAGTATCCTCAATCCATGATACTGTTTTTTGCATGCGAGTTTATTTGATTTTCATCATCTGTATAGTTTTCTCTGTAATTGGATCTTGTATCTGTTGAGAAATATATGAATAAAATAAATGAAAATGTTTTGGAAAATTATTTGGATGATTCTCGATATTCCACTAATAAAACAGCAGTCGCACCTGTCAGTGATCGATCACGTTGCATTGAAAAATCTTACGAGTCCATCTCGTAGGCTGAGGAAATACTGGCATCATGGAGGATCATTGGTAAAAAACCTTTTGTCGACGAAAACTAGCTTGTGATGGTACGTTAGAAGAAGCATCACCTCGTGAACTTAACAGGCATAGTTACAGGTTTGAATCGTTTAGGATATTTGCTATTTGTAGTGCCTTTGTGAACCAGAGTTTGTGCGATATTTTCCTATAGCTTTTTTTCGCCACCGCCAAATAAAAAAGCTTGCTGTTTAAAAAATTTGCTGACAGAGATTGCCCCTTAACGAAATCCCACCCGTCAGTGAAGCTTATTTAGTTGGCAATCCGCAAGAGGGGAAACAAAAATAAAAATTCCCAATTAGAAACTCGGAAAAGCTTACCTCACTGTCATCTGAAATGGTTTTGGTATAGTAATTCCCACATTATCGTTCCACTGTGCAGATGGTTTCTGCCTAACAGGACTACAGGGAGCGCTTTTCGTCTCAACTGGCAGTGGCGTGCTTTCCTCCAAATCTAGCTTTAGATTTTCCAAGCTCAAGTCGTCCCATTCTGCGTTGTATTTAGTTTTTGGAGACGTGGAAGAAATGTTGGCTCTGGACTTTGGTCTGAAGTATTCTGGTGTGAGATTTGTGGATAGTTTGTCACTTGGAGTTTCGATACGGACGGATCTCCTAGATGGAGGTTTGTTTGAGATTTCTTTGTCTGAGAATACTTCCACGTCCAAACCTATAAGTTATAGAATCCGCTTAAGCATAAAACATTATGTATTTATTCTACTAAAGCGGATGTGAAAGTGAAAGTGGTTGAGAAAGTGTCACCAATCAGAGCTATTACGTAAAAATCTATACAATGTAAAAAAAATCGGTAAAACTTGTGTACTATTTAGCAGCTAGAGTGCCGTTAGTTTATTCCGCGCCTACAAGTAAGCATGAAGTCAATTTCAGCTAGTTCAAAGGAAACATTTTATAGAAAAACCTTCATGATATGAAAAAACCTACATAATGCCAAAAAACCATAAATAATGTCAGTCCAACGTTCGTTTGACATTTATCGGTGTCAAGAATAGTGGAAAGGAGTAACGGTTGCAGAACCGTAGGACGGATGCTCGAATCCACAAAGCGCCCCTGTTTTATATATATTTTTTTTTAATTTGGTGAAATAAATGCTTTTTCACATTACGTGTTCTTTTATTGTGATCAAACAGCTTTTCGCACTATATAGACAATGTAAGCCTGCAAACTTGAAGAATAGGCATTCTGTTATTTTCAAAAAAATACAATTTAATTGTTGTCATATCATTCTAGATATGGTATCAGGTTTATGTCCATGCTTCGAGTTCAAAAATAAGTTCTTGTAGCTAAACCAAATGATTTATGATATATTCCTTAATTTCATATGGGAATTAGGGGCCTACCTTACAAAAATCATATGCTTGTTTCAGAGACATCTTACTAGAAATCGACCATTCATAAGTCCTTTACTTCAAAGAATCATTCTCATTGGTTGAATTTGTGACCCAGCTTAGTAAAATCAGGCGTGAATGTGATTTTATTTGCTAGACAAACGAAGCGGATTATAGACAAAAAGCCACACGATAAGTGTCAGATGTCAGATGTCGTATAGCCATCTCTCTAAAGTGGCCAATGAATGAAACCACATATTATGATGAATAGGTACATTAGCTTAATGATTTGGTTCCATTCATCACCCACTTTAGAGGGAAGGGTTGCATGTGAACCCTTTTGAGTTTGAGTATCTAAATAATATTAGGTACGCAGATTGAATGTCGGTAGTTATGTCACTGTTCCATACGTATGACTTCGTATCCACAAAGAATCGTTAAAAGGCACTTGAATTGCAAGTTTTTGAGTAAACTGGAATAATCGTGGATTTAGCGGCCACGTAAAGCGGTGAGGTTTTTGGGCAAATAAAATTTACCAAAAAGTAATATTATTTTCTACAAAATGAATATATAGTAACCTCGACACTATTATAGACTGATAGTACGTTTTCCTCAAACGGCAGCTAGCTGATGCTGATCGAAGTTAGCATTTCTTCTGTTATATGATATAAGCATGATTTCGTATAAAAAAAAAATTGATCCTATCAATTTTATCTAATGTATTTCATTCCGACTGTTGAAGCTTAACAAAATATTATTGAAATGGCATTGCTTTGAAAAGGGAGATTATTTATTAGAATTTTATAAGCATCCTTTGTGGCTCCAAGAGGTACCTAATTTGACCGCGTATTTAAAACTTGAGCGTATTACCACAAACAAGATTTCGGATGTCTTTCATTATTGTTGGTTAATAATTTACACATCTAAGATATACGTTTTCAAAAACTATCTGCTATGATCCGACATAGCGTTTCTGAAATTTTATCAAAGTAATACAAAAAATTATAAAGTATACGCATACCGCTGGTTTCCTATTTGCAAGCTTACGTTGTCTATGTCGTCGCACTACCAAGTGCCAAAGGCATCATTTTTCTTAAGTTTTCGGCTATAACTTTTTTGCTATTAGTCGGATCTTTTTAGGTGCAGCTTCATTCTATAGGTCTCATAAATACCTAAAAATCTTATTTGAAGAGTTTTTTCGTTCCTGTTATTACTTTCGATTGAATCCAAAAAACACGGTTTCTCATTCTTTGTTGTATAAAAAGTTTTCCCACAAAACCCATTTTATGCGTCCATGTTTTAAATACCCCCTTAAACAACTTGCATCAATAAAACCAAACTTCACAATTATTTCGCAAACCGTCTGATATGATTAGACTATATAAATTACTGATATAAAAATACAAAATACATAAATTGTATGATACTTTCTTTAGTTATTTATTATGTAACTATTTTTTTATCGTGGAGAGAGCTGAAACCAAAATATTATTTACATGTACATAGATACTGTAAAAGATGAGAAATTTAAGGATAAGTTGTAGCATAGGTAGCATCAATAGTTGTAGTGATTTAAAAAACTTTATCCAGGCTATGTTGAAATAGAGTTCCTCTCTCACGCAGATAGAGCAAGGACATCTTTAATCTCAGCCCTGATTTCAATTTCGCCCCAACACTATAGAAAACTAGTACATCCAAGACAAACATTCCATATTCTAGGGAAGTGTCTCGAGATAATTACCAGTTATTTGTTTTCAGGACCTAGGTTGGAGACGCCTCCTACAGAGCCCTTCAGAAGCGACCTAAGTGCGATGAGTTCCTGAGAGTGGGTCAAGACATCTCTGCCGTTCTCACACTATTCCAGCGTTCATTAATTCTGTTTTTCAGAGAATGTCAGACGGCTCTCGCAGATATAGTTCAAAGTGTACGGAATGCTGATGGTGGGGTCACACATCCACCAAACTTTTTTTCACAAAATCGTCCCCGAGACCGCTACACTCAGGCACCAAAACGGAAGCAGAATAACACACCGTTCGCCACTACTAACGCAGCGTGTCTTTGTATCGGCAAAGTAAGTGCGCACGAATTCCGACATTTTCAAAGACCTCCGCGTCAGCAGTGGTGTACGATGTGTATTTAGGTACTGGACTATAAAAGCATCTTCAGCTAGAGCGACCGCGTTAGTGAAACTGTCCATCCTTGAAAAAAACTCACTTTGCCTAAAGGTATATTTCTATTACCTACAACCAAAAACCCAGCAAAAGCCCTATGGGAAATGAGTTTCAGGTATTTTTAAAAATTCACTATGTGGTAGATCTCAACACATAGAACAAATGTACCCCTGGGCACAATTTAGTTTCACGAGTAGTTTCCAAGAGGGCCTCCAAGTTGGGCAGTCCATTACACTATTACACCAGATTGCGGGTACGGTTCATGACATGTAATAGCTGTTTGATATTTACTTCGGATTTCTTAAGGTATCATATAGCTTTTCTGAAAATTTTGAAATCATCTGAAATAACATACCATTCGAATGTTTTAATAAACAATAAATTTGTCTGTTTTGTGTAATGACTTGATTCGAAAATTTGAGGAATAGACAAATGAGGTAGCAACTGCAAACTGTCAGACATCTTATTACAGAGTTTTCAGTACTCTGTCTATCAAAGCAGACGAGGTACTGGTTGCTATACTTTCATTTTTCAGACAAAATAGGTACATAATTATTACATGTATATATAACTCTTCAGCATTCAGACGCGTGTTTATCTAAAAATGCAATAAAACTATAGGTCTTTGTCAAAAACGTAACTTTGTTATTCCTACCCTATATATTCCTGGATATGTTTGAAATTCCCATAGGGATGTCGCCGGATAATACTTAACAATTTTTGACAAAATTTGTGTCTCGGAGTAATACCCCATTCAGGCCAGTTTGGGCCACTCTGTACTTGTGACAAAGTTGCTTCAATACTGAACTATCTAGGGGGGATGACACAAACATTTAACACCCAATCTACGAGTATATCGTTTTCCGAACCTACAATAGAAACAACTAGTATCTTTGAACAACCTTGTTCTATAGTACGTGTTGAGATCTGTAAGAAACTAAATTTTAAAAAATGCCGAAAGCCATTCCCCATTAGGTATCTGCGAGGTAGTTTGCTCCGCAACATGTGCCGTCATGTTCCGGCACATTTGCCAGTATGCTATGAAACATGTGAAAATGTGCGGGGCACAATATCTACCGCTACATGTGCAGTAACTCTCGCTACGAATATTTCAGATTACAATAGGTGTGCGGCACTTTGCAAAATGTTGCAAATAGCGAAGTAAAAGTTCTAACAGTCTGCAACATCTTTTTTAGTCAGAAGCCTAAATTTTTGAACTGCATAAGGGGAAAAGCCTTCGAAGGTAGATTGTCTCACAATCCTGTTGCGCTATAGCAAAGGAACGGTCGTATCGGCCAGTTATGGATGTACGAAGTTCAATACGGTCAGTATGGAACGCCGAATTCAGGTTTGTCTATCACTCATCGAGCGGCGGCATCATGAAGGAGACTTCTGAGGAGCAAAGCCCGATGACATTGCAGTAGAAGAGAGCTAGATCGCCGATCGATCAGTCGGACAGTCCTTCTCTGAACTTCATGCGGTCGGGGCGACAGCAGCGGCTCAAAAATTTGAGCAGTACTCAAGGGTAGGTCTTATCTGGGCCTTGTAGATAGTAAGGAGGTTATGTGGAGGAAAATACTTCTTAGCCCTAAACTACCGCCTATTGGCTATCCTTTTCCCGCCAGCTGCCGCTATAGACCAGTTGTGTTAGGTCTCGGTGATCTGGACTAGCCAAAATCATTGGCTCTTTCGTAGAACTCGGCTATCCATCGAAACCGGATTGTTGCGTCCCCAAGCAGTGATAACCTCCAGGTCTCTCGTCAGAGGGTCAGTCGCTACTGGTCTTCTTTTCTCCAGCTCACCGGCAGAGATCGGCTAGTCACGTCAAATCGTTGCATGTAGGTTGCTGGCATCAGCAAAGCTGTAGATCGGATCGATCGTACAAGTCGTTGATATCTAAGAGGAACAATGTCGCAGCCAAGACCGATCCCTGGTTAACACTCGCGTTGACACTATCAGATAAAGAGGAGAATCCGTCAATTACGACGGATATCTTGCGGCCAGAGAGGAAGTCAGCCACCCATCAACAAAACTTCTCTGGGAGGACATAGGATGGACGTTTGCATAAAAGGGTAGCATATCCTAACTGTTCGAACTCTTCGTGAGACCAACAGCGAGCCTCACTATCAAACTGGATGAGTTTACTCTACAGT